CTCCCTCCTTATATTCCTCTCTTTCTGCAGTCATATCACCGCTAGCTTCACTTGCCTAGTGCTGGGATTAAAGGCCTGTGATCCCAGGGACTAGAATCTCCCTTTTGTGAGCTCTCTTTTTCTTTAAGGCAGGATCAGGGTGGCATTGAACCAACAGAGATCCATCTCTGCTCTGCATCCTGAGAGTAAAGTAACTGCCGCCAGTGACTGACCACATGTATCTTAGATCTGCACTCTGAACACCAGGCAAGTTTTATATGTTAAAACAAAAAATATCACTACACATCTGAGGAAACATTAATTGAGGCTGGACCACTATCACAGTGTTTTGCAGAGGAATTTAGCACTAGACAGTTGCAGAGGGCAGTCATATGGTGAGCTTGAGGTAGGAAATGTCAAGGCGTTCAGCGCCACTGAAGAGGAGGCTCTTTCTTGCTCAGCACTGGATGCCTAGGACGGACTCCATCCAGCTAAGCCTTCACTCTATGCTAGGAAGAGAAAAAGATTCTGATCTCAAGTGAGCAACTTCACACTCAATCTGCTATAACTCGGTTACAAGTGTGGCGGGGTTTATTACAACATAGACTGAAAATTAGGTTCAATCTTTGTGGTTTTATCGTTTCTGTATACTAAAAAAGACGCAAAATTTAAAGTCATGGATTCTTGGTCTGTGATTGCCTTCCAGTACTGTTACAGGCATCTGTGTTTGCCAAACATACACATTTAGACCTTGTCTCCCCTGAGAAAAATCATTCTAACAAATAAAAAGATAGATACATCTGCCTCTGCCTTCTAAGTGCTGGAATTAAATGCATGAGTCAATGCACCCAGCATGCGTATTGTTTTTTGTTGTTAGTTTTTATTACTAATAGGACATACAAATTCTCTGATATTGACCTAGTTCTGCCTTTCTCTTGCAAGGCGTATCTCATTCGAAGCTTGCAGAAATAACAGGGGTGAACCTCCTATTCAGCTTCCTTCTGTAGTGATGCAGTGATAGCATTACGATGTCCCTGTCATAAAACAAGTGTAAGAAGCACCAGAATTAGGTGACTGTACTGTCAAAGACATACATTTACAATGTTGTTGGTATCACCCCTTTTGTTTTCCACATGTATGGGATATATTAGAATGTAGTGACCTATGATGATGTGCATGTGAACTTCACCCAGGAAGAGTGGGCTTTGCTGGACCCTTCCCAGAAGAATCTCTATAATGATGTGATGCTGGAGACCTTCAGGAACCTCACTGCTATTGGTAAGATGGTCAAAATTACTTCATGTTTTAAAATGAGGGGACTAGTGTTTCCTGGTTATTGGTGGTCTTGTGTAATTTTGATTGATAAAGAGGAAGAGTGTGGTGAATAAATCATATATGGTGCTAAGGTTTATTAAAGATAATAACTTAAATTTTGCACAATTTCCAATAATATATACTTTCTGGTATTATTTTTAGGCTACAATTGGGAAAGTCATTATATTGAAGAGTATTCTCAAAGTTCGAGAAGACGTGGAAGGTAATTTACATATGCAAGATTATATACATATGCATTTGAAAAAATTTTAATGTGACTTGGAAGTTTTAAAGAGAAGCAACAATATAAAAAAAAACACAACTTAAATTGTATTGATGATTATTAAATTTCCCAAAAACCATGTACTTCAATGTTAGGTAGGAAGGTTGTGTTTGCAGAGCATTAGGAAAGAAAACAAGGAAGCAGTGCCTCAACAGATATCACCATTTGAATCACAGCAGAGTGAGAGCTGTGCTGTGGAACCACCAGTCTGTGTAGTTTGGTACCACTCATATTACAATAGGTGTACACTTTGCACATGTTAAGAGCATATGTCCAAAACCTTCTACTAAGCAAGCAGTCCATAGGAAAGCCAGTGTGACTTATATACTGGTGATGGGTTTGCTAAGTTTATTGAGCTGGGTCGATAGAGTCAAGGGACAGTATTTGTAGAGAAACTGTAATCCCTGTACCACGTGTCTATGAGGAGCAGAGAGTCATACTGTGTAAATGCAATGTGGAAACCTTTTATTTGTTATTCTTCCTTTAATAGATAAATCGTATGTCAGTCTGGATAGAAACCATATGAGCATTGGCGTATGGAAAGAATTTACACTGTCTCTCCCAGAAAAATTAGAAGATACGTAATAGTCTCTGGTTAGACTAGACTTGATGATTGTGATTCAAGGTTATAAGTAATTGATTTTCCAGCTTCATTGGGAATACATCAATCTCACACTAGAAAAGCCTTACGAGTACTAGGGATTTGAAAACACTTCTGTTTGTCATGGTTCACTTTGCAAATGTAGTATGACTGACACTCTTGGAAAATATCTGACTGTATTAAGTGTGTTAGTGCTCTGAGTCTTTCCAGTGCTCTTCACATATGTGAAAAATCTTATATAGAAAACAGAAGCTCTGAATGTGAACCATGGAATACAAGCTCTTACCACAAAGACCTCTTCAGAGATGCAAAACAACCCTTAATAAAAGTTAAAACATGAGTTTAAACAAATTGATAAAACCTTAACTTATGAGTTTTTTTTTTTTAAGTTTTAAAGCTAAGAGGCTAAGAGCACTGGGTGTTCTCTCTGAGGTCCTGAGTTCAAATCCCAGAAACCACATGGTGCCTCACAGCAAACTGTAAAGAGGCCTGGTCCACTCTTCCGGCACTGAAGTATACAGGCAGGAGGAACATTGTATACATCATAAAATTAGACCAAACTGTAAAATCAATTTATGCCAATGTAAAGATTTACCAGTGTAATGAACGTGGTAAAACTTTTACTTGTGCCAAGTAACCTTCTGAATGTAGTTAATGTGTTCATTCCTTTACACATTACAGTCCTCTTGAATGGCATGAGAGAATTCACACGGAAGCGAAGACCTATAAAAGTATTCAAGATGATGAATCCATTGCATATCACAGTCAACTGCGAATTTATAAAAGAGCACATACCGGAGAGAAGTCCTACAAATGTCATCAGTGTGCTAAAGCTTTTACATCTCCCCGAGGTCTTCAAATGCATGAAAGAACACATACAGGAGAGAAACCCTACAAATGTAACCAGTGTGACAAAGCTTTTGCATATCTTCATCATATTATAATTCATGAGAGGACACATACTCTAGAGAAACCTTACAAGTGTAATCAGTGTGCTAAAGCTTTTATATCTTCCGGTCATCTTCAAATACATATAAGAACACATACTGGAGAGAAACCCTACAAATGTAATCAATGTGATAAAGCCTTTACATATCACAGTGGTCTTTTAAATCATAAAAGAACACATAGCAGAAAGAAACACTATGAATGAAATCAGTGTGGTAACGCCCTTGCAATTCATAGTAATTGTCAAAAGTATAAAGGAACAGATACAGGAAAGAAACCCTATGAATGTGACTAATGTTGAAAAGCCTTTGCATGTATCAGAAGTCTTCAAATTCATAAGAAAATATACTATACAGACACCTTATCAATATAGTCAGTGTGGTATTTTTTTTATTTGTTTGCTTAGTAGAAGGTTTTGGACATGTACTTATCACCTTTTCAATGTGTATGCCTATTGTAATATGAGTGCTATGAAAATACACAGATGGGCAGTTCTACAGCACAGCTCTCCCTCAGCTGTGACTCAGATGGTGATAACTGTTGAGGCACTCTTTCCTTGTCTTCTTTCTTAATGCCTTGCAAACACAGCTTTCCTACCTGGCATTGAGGTGTATCACTTTTTGAGAATTTAATAATCATCAAATCACTTTAAGCTGTGTTTATTTGCATTATTGTTTTTCTTTCAAAAATCCAGGACACATTAAAATTTCCTGAAAGGCACATTTATGTCAGCATGCATATATGTAAATTACCTTCCATTTCTTCTAGAACTATGAGAATGCTCTTCAATATCATGAACTTCCCAATTGGAGCCTAAAATATAATACCATAAAATGCGAGATCGCTGCCACGGTGCAAGAGTGGCACTTTTATCTCAGGGAAACAAACACCTGGCTAAGGCATTTATGTCTGGTACTGCAAACCTAGACAAATAACCTTGGCTGAAGGCTGTTGGAGACCAGCTTTGACAAGTATACCACTTACCAGGGTGGGGAATGAGGACCAGAAAAATAAATAAAGAGAATGAAGACGTGGGTGAAAATAAAACAGACACAGGAAGGTACTGGGAGGGAGCACCAATGAATATGAAATTGCCCACATTTAATTTTCATTTGCTTAAAATACCCAGACCACAAAAGGTAGGAATAAGATAAAAAAATTCATTAACATGATACAAAAAAATTAACAGAGTGGTTGAAGTATTGTGGCCTAAAACCTGTTGCCTGAACAAGACCAGTAAAGCTCACACCCTAGACCAAAACATTCTGTAGGCAAACCACTCCCTGGGTGGAAGCCATTGTTATCTCCCTAATGGAGCGGGATCTTAGTTGGATCCCTAGACTTTTGTTAGAGGTAGAAAGAGATTTACATTTTTATACCTGAAACACGAGGTCTGAATATTAGCCACACCTGTTGACAATAACCTTGAGAGCACAGAACTCTCTGCTCTGAATCAAGGTGGGGCCTTTATTTGAGGTAGAAACAGAGGATAACCTTGAAGGAACAGAAGTAAGTTCCAACTCTCTGACCTTTGGTCAGGATGGAGAGGATCTACTTCTGTGGGCCTTCTAAGTGTCCAAAACACCAAGTAACCACACCCTAGGCCAGGGTGTGTAACCTTAGTAGCTGTCTACAACTTTCAGCAAACTGAAATTCTCTGACCTTCAGACCCACATTTTTGCTCCTCCACCGAAGACTTCGTGGACCAGAGAGTAGAAGAGAAAGGGAGTACCTCCATTTTTAAAAACCAATGCATGATCTTGTACCCACAGAGTACAGCAAATGGCCCTCAGCAAAGCAGTTTCCTTTTGAATATGAGACTTAACCTGTCAAAATGCAAGGAAGTGACTATGTATGCCATGCTAATCTAGACTGAAGGATCTGCAGTTGTGTCTTTTATGGGGCCTGTAAACCCTGCCTCTCAATAATGTGATTACATATACGAGAGACCCCTGACAACAGCAGTTCATGTGCAAATGTGGACAGGGCAATCCCACATGCAACACCACTAGAAGAACTACCGGTTGTCATTGCCTATGAAGGGGGGGGGGGATGTTTCTCCTACAGGGACAAGATCCCACATAGGCTGTTCAGTCCCCATTGGTCCAATCTGGACACAGGGAAAAATGATCAAGGCTGATTGGACTCAGTAGGTTAGAAACACATGTGTGTAAGTATGTGCACAAACCACACATACACATGCGTGTTGCTCAGTAGAGAGATCATAATTTGGGGAGAGGTCCATGAGGTAAACTGAGGCACAAAGGGAAATGGGCTTGGTGGAAGGTATTTAGATGCAGTTTTCATATGTGAAGTTCTCAACGGACCTAAAAGAACTAGTTCGTAGTTGGGCAGCAATATTGAGAAAATGTGAAAACTGCATCTGGGAATTTGAGGACTAGTTCACCAAGTTATTGAAAATGTTTTCCCAAAGTAAAGGAAAAAACACAAATGGAATAATTGTTGGAGGTTGCTCCAGCTGAGAAATACAAATTAATGGATTAAAATGACCTACCACAATGTAGTACAAGGAATATTAAAAATCGGTGAAGAAAATAATGGTTTTGGTCATGTTTTGTATTGTTTTAATTTTAGGCTATTGAGGCAGAAACAGGAATGATAAGCCATGAGGAGTTAATGATGTAACTTTTGAGTTCACAAAGTAAAGGATTTAACATAGCCCTCAGCACGGCGTTAAACAAGAGAGAGGCCTCTTAGGGATGTGGATTTTGGATTATAATAATAATAATTATTATTATTTGGGTTTTCAAGGCAGGGTTTCTCTGTGTTATGGAGCCTGTCGGGACACTGGCTCTCTAGACCAGGCGACTTTCTCTGCCTCCTGAGAGGTGGGATTCAAGGTCTGTGTCATCACTGCTCAGCTTGGATGCTGGATTCTTAACAGAGCCTGCCTTTTTGTTTCAGAGTATTAGGTCTTTGAAGACAGGAGTTCCCCAGAATCCGTTGATGGTGGATTTAGGTGTGATTACAAGTCAACAGTGTACTGATATCGACCGATGACCCGTTAACTCAGGATAAACTAGAAGCAGAGACTGAACCCCAATCCGACCTCCAGAAACCCAGTCTGTTCTCATACTGAAAGGAGACCCTGGAATGGAAGAAGTGAGGGGAGATGCAGCCCGGATGGGATGTCTCTGCACAAAAGGCAGAGAACAAGCAAGAATTCTACCCTAACCCTGCAATCACAGGACCCAGCTGCAGTCCAGGTCAGCCTGAAATCACTATAGAGCAGACGCGGTCACATGACTGCAACCTGACCAATGAGGAAGTTCTGATTGGCTACCCAATGTGATTGGCTCATTTCTGTATGTATCACCAATCAGGTCGCAGATCAGAACCCACGGCACGAGGGATGTGGCTAAGAGTCAGTTGGTGGCAGTTATGTGCTGTTGGAGGCAGGGCTTTCACTTGGAGGACACCAGTGGCCGAGGCAGTGCGCACAGACATTGCAGTGTGGCACGGATTGGAAGGAGTTTCTGATCTGCTCAAGCAACACCAGGTACGTCCTGATTGACTGCTGTCTACCAAGACTGTTTTGCTTTCATGGGACCCACACTGTTCTTTTCTTCTAGTTGTTGTTTTTTCTATTTCTTTCTTTCTTTCTTTCTTTCTTTCTTTCTTTCTTTCTTTCTTTCTTTCTTCCTTCCTTCCTTCCTTCCTTCCTTCCTTCCTTCCTTCCTTCCTTTCCTTTCCTTTCCTTTCTTTCTTCCTCCTCCTCCTCCTTCTTATTCTTCTTTTTCCTCCTCTTCTTCCTTTTTTTTTTCAAAACCACTTTGGAGTGTGGATTAGGCCAACAGCTCTTCTTCCCAAGTGTGGTTAGTCAGGAGCCCAGGCCAGGATTCTGAACCATCTAGGACTCTGAGCAATACTGTTTTGTCTAAAGAGTCTGTGGTGGCTGAGACACCCAGGCTCCTTCCCAGAACACTGTGAATGTGTCCCAGGGATACCACTGTCCTACTCTATGTCCTCCCTGGCCTGTCTTATGTTCCCTCAAAATTGCCTTTGGAGACTAACAAGTCACATATCACAAAACCATCTTCATTTGCAACTGTTTTCTGGAAAAAGACTGAATTTTATTCTTGGAACTATGCACTTTTTGTCCTATATTCTCTTCATTGTTTTATTTGTTAAAATTTATATTAGAATTGCCCTTCTGTTGTTAAGTGATGAACTCACTTTGAGCATGAAGATGGCCATGTTTTTGGGTTGTTGGACTTGCTAGGTTTCAATTTCTTTCATTAAGGATTATCGCATCTAGATACGTGAACTTCGCTTACACCTTCTGTATATTTTACACTTAGGATTATTTTGTATTATTTATTTTGCTGTGTGTGTTTATCAGTTTGTGTTGCAACCCAGACACATGGAATTTAGAGGGAAACTTGTGGCTCTAGGTGCTGGTTTTCCTACTGGGGGATAAGGGAAGAAGCTGAAGTCATCAGGTCTGGCAGTGGCTCCTGCAGACTGTATAGAACATGCTCTAAAGTGTCTCCTTCCCCTTACTGAATACTTGGAGGAATATTAGTGTTATTTTTTTCAAAGTTGGGTAGAATTTATATATGAATACATTCATATTAGTTTTTCATTTTATTGATATTTCATCACTGGAAATCTTTTATACAATGTATCTTGATTCTTCCCCCCCCATTCTGCCCAAACCCTCCTCAGCTCCCCACCCTTACAGAAATATGGTTTATATATTTTTTATGTTAAAAAAAATTAATAAATCCCAGCATTCGGGAGGCAAAGGCAGGCGGATCTCTGTGAGTTCGAGGCCAGCCTGGTCTACAAGAGCTAGTGCCAGGACAGGCTCCAAAGCTACAGAGAAACCCTGTCTCGAAAAAAATAAAAAATAAGAATTAATAAAACAGAGACCAAAAAAACCAGATAAGCATTCAAGACCTATAAGATGCCCAAAGAAAAGAAAATGAGCCCAATTGTGTACCAAAGTTTATTGTTCCATTTTGAGTTTGGCATTAATTTAGGGCATGCTAAGATACCCAGTAAAAACCATTAGAGAAAACAAAATTCTTCCTTTACCATCAGAAAACAATTGCACATGTCTTGTTGGTTAGGTTTGGAACCCTGCATCCACGTCCACTTCTCAGTGCTAGAACCTCCATCTGTTTGAACCTTTGTATACTTTTGTGTATTGCTACAGTCTCTGAATTCATGTTTTCCTCAGTCATGTTATATGTGGAATACAGTGTTTCTTTGTTTCCTTGGAAACAAAGTCTCTTCCTATTTCCTCTTCTGTCTAGCTCCCTCAACCTTGAGGGAAGGTTTTCCTGAATCCATCCCATTTAGGACTGCGATCCCAAAGTCTCACACACTCTACATTGTTGTGAGTCTCAGTGTTGGTTCCGTCACCTCAAGAATGAGGTACACTGGCACGGGCTGTTTGAGATATACATGTACATACATACATACAAACATACATACATACAAACATACATACACATACATCTAGATATAGCCATATATCATCAAGAGACATTGTATCACTGTGTCCTTTAGCAGAATAATAGTATCAGGTTTTCCCCAGGCCCCTGAATGACCGACTCAGTTTCTTGGTCCCTTTAGCAGTGTCAGGTATGGCTTCCATCTCCTGGAGTGGCCTTCAATCCAATCAAAATTGGTTGCTTGCTGCAAGAGTATTTGGACAGTATTTTAGGAGTCCACTTTGCAGAAGGGTCCTTGTTGTTCTAGGGTTTGTAGCTGGATGACATTGATGATTGTCTCTCTCCTCCAGTTGCCTGCAGAATACATTCCTGTATCATGAACATCAGTCAGTGGTGAAGCTTCTAGTTATGCACCAGCTCAACTTCTCTGTGTTGGCTGCCATACATGCGAGTGGTCTTCGTCAATAGGGCACAACAGTAAGGTTGCAGAATAAGCCAGTGGGTTTTCATGGGGTTCTGTTCCAGGTATTCAGAAAGATAGAATCCAATCATGTCACTGGACCAAAGCTTTATTCTTGAGATTTTTCTCAAAGAATATTGAACTATGTTTCTCACTATTGATCTGCTTAGGTTTTTATTTGCCCTCTTTTCAGTTTTGGTAGGTGACACATGTAGACATTTGTCCCTTTGCTCCAGTTTTATAATTCATACGATTGTAGGATTTAAAATAGTTCCAGATAAAGGAACATGGGAACAAGAGTGGTCAGGGACACCACAGGAACACAGCCCAAAGAATCAATTGACCAGGAATATGGGGGCTCACAGAGATCAGGCAGCCTTTGTGGAATGGGGTCTTGCCTAGGTCCTCTGTGTATATCTTATGGCCGAGTATCTTGATGTTATTGTGAGATTCCTAACAGTGGGAGTGGGGGACATTGACACATAGGCTTCATGACGTCTTGTTATCAGGAAACATCATGCCTGTTAAATCTGCTCTGAGCAGAAACATTGTCAGATTTAAAAAAAGAGCAGTAGAAGAAAAGAATGTAAATTGAATAATCATGTATGAAATTGTCACAAATATTAAAAGATTTGAGCAAAAATTTTGAAAATTCAGAATAAGTTATAAATGTACTTATGACTTATAGGATTAATATGGATTTCTGAGAAATGTTTCATGAATTGAGTTAGCATAAATGCAAATGACTACTAACTATTACAACATGGTATTCTACATTATTTAAGGAATGATTTTTACTATGGTGTTAACAAGTGAGATATCATATTCACCAAATTATCTCTAGTAAAATATACAATTTGGGAACAGGAAAAGTAGGTATTCTGATAGCATAAGCTTTGTGACGATTCCTTTAGAATCTGGGAATGGAAAGGTTTTCTTGGTATGTAATAAATAAATTCTTTGCATTCCTTTCCCTCAGCATCTGTTAAATTGTGCATCGTGATCCTTCTGGTCCCTCTGATTTAGTTATGTCTTCAGGCATGTTGATTCTGTTACTAATTTGTAATCTATAATTACAATAAGAAAGTACCCCAAGTGTTCATGGTTATATAATTTCTATTGTTTCAGTTATTGAGAACTCAGTAGTGAACAAGGTGACAAAATTTATTCCCAAGACTGCTGATGAAATGGCTTGCTATAGATTGACTAACACATTTTATCTTCAAAATTGTTTACAGAATACATATGCTATCTCCATGTCAAAATAAAGAAAGTTGTTCTGTGCCAAAATTACTTCTACATGATTCCAGTGATTCTAGCCATTTTTTTTTCTGTAACAGCACATTGACTTACCCTGTGTCTTCTTCTTCTTGATCACTTTGGTCTCTGCTCTTCCTTTTCAATAATTTAGGTTTTACGTCTGTGTAGTGTTCATTGTTGTCCATTTCCTTACATTCTGTTCTCATCTTCAGAATGTTTCCCAGGTACTTTTCTTGGATTTTAGTTTATTCTTATTTTTCTGTGACCCAGAAGATTTTTGTTGCTTCACGAGTCTGTCCTTTTTCGATGTAAAAATTGAAAGTCATACACGTTACCCCTTGACCCAGTTCTCATTTTTCTCATCTGGTTTTGTCCAGTTGGTGTGGAAATTCTGAAGAAACTTCTGAGAAAGAGAAGAGAGGACGTGATAATGCAGATGGACCCAAAAAGCAGTGCCTCTGAAGAGGATTCTCACAGATCCTTCATGACCCAGTGTGCAATGCTGTTCTCATGACTGTAGTGAACTGTGCACACCATCTGAGTGAAGATTGCTGGACCTGCTGCTCCTGCAGACAGCCTACTTTCTCAGTGTGGCTCACCAGATCGCCATGAACAGCATGCTCCATCACCATATAGGTGTGCTCTTTGGTATCGATGATGTGGAACAGCTAGATGATGTTTGCCTGGTCCAGCTCTTTGAAGATGTCAATTTCTGTTATGTTGCTATAGTCATTCTTTCTACCATTTTCAAGGATAACAGCAACTTGCACCTTTGTGTGGAAGTGACGGACCAGCTTTACCTCAGCAAAGGTCTCTTTTCCAGGAGTCCTGAGTATGATTTAGGGGTTTACGTGATAAGCCTCTCTGATTCTCTATGTCCCTATGAATAATGCTGTTCTCATGACTGTAGTGAACTGCACACACCATCTGACAGAAGATGTGCTGAGCCTGCTCCTCCTGCAGACAGCCCACTTTCTCAATGTGGCCTGCCAGATCCCCCTTTGTTGTTGCCTACTCCATTATGTATTAATGGTCTCTAGTATTGATGATGTTTGACTGGTCCAGCACTTTCATGATGTTGATTTCTGTGATTTTGCTGTAGTCATGTGTCCTACCATTTATCCGGATCTTCATAGCATCTCACCACTCTGTGTGGAGGTGGCAGACCAGCTTTACCTCAGCAGAGGTCTCTTGTCCGAGGGTCCTGAGTATGACATAATGATCTTTGTAAGGGATAAGCCTCTCTGCAGGCTGAGACCCGAGATGGGTATTTTTGTGGTGTGACAGAGAAGGCAGATGAGGGAGCCCTGCAGGGAGTCCAGATGGCAGTGTGCTTTACTACAGAGAAGTCCAGCACAAAAAGAGTTAAAACCTCTACCGTAGGCTTCTCCAGAGGAACACATAGTAAACATGACATATGTCCCACTTATGGCCTTCCCTAGCATCGTTGTAAGAGTGGAGCAGTGTGCAAACCCCACAAAAGCTGCTCGTGAATTAGAAGCACCTAAATAACTATTTGCGTGGACACGGAAGAGCAAAGCTCATTCATCTGTCTCTCGTATCAAGGTCAGGTGAAAAGGAAAGTTTTGTCACTTTGCGGGAGAGGTGAATCCCCTCCACCATCTTCCTCCCAGGCCTGCTGTTGTGTTTGCATCCTGCCTATATCCCTTTGTCGCTCTCAACACAGGAGACACTGTCCACTGCATGCTGGTTCAGTCTAGATGTTGGAGAAAGGACCAGTTACTCTGTGATGTTTACCAGCACCGTATTTGTGTCTTGACAGGACAGTGACTGCAAGGTAAACAGAAATGGGTCAAAGTGTGGATGGGATGCTGGGAGGTTGTGGGTAATGCTTGCCTGTCCTGGGGACACTGTGCATACACGAGTCAGTCAGCAGTCTGGGAACTACATGTTATTCATACCCCACATCAATGGTCAGGCTTAGAGAGAGCCTTGACCATAGAGCTGGGGTTCCAGCCCAGTTGTTTGTTTGGGAGGTCTCCTGTCAAAGTTGGCTATGGGGTTGTCATGGACACTCTCCAAGTAGGCTTCTGCTCTCTGCAATATAGAGTGGACACTCAGAAAGGAGTGAGTGCCAGGATTCCGGTGTGGGTCTCAAATGCTGAAGGTATCACTGAAACGACTAAATTTAATCCTGTTCTGTGAGGGAGGTTTATGTTCTCTGTTTATCCTTGACACTGATCTATGGACAAATAAGCATATGGCTGCCAAAGCTGCCCTTTCCCATTCCCAGGAAGGTGGTTATTAGGCTCATGATGCAGAGGAGCTAAGGCGTAGTGAGAGACAACAGACGAGTGGATTCGGAGAGATTGTTGGCATAAGTTATGGCAAGTAATGCATCTCTGCCCTCTGGCTCTCTTGCCCCAAACTATTATGGAGGAAGGTGAATATCTTCTTATACCTTATTTGAGGACAGTCACTCTGCCACAGGCCAGCTACTTCGTCTGTAATTTGCTGAAGACTATTGAGCACGAGGATGCAGACAGCCTTGCAAGGAAAAGCAGTCTTGAGACACTGAGGCTCTTATGTGGTCATAATCGCGACACATCAGGGGGTTGTTTCAGTCCTAATGCATTTTACTGAAGCTTCGACCTGGGAAGGGAGACTTGGGCACTATGTCCAGGTCAGTGATCCCCAGGAGACACAGCCCAAGAGAATCACTGGCTCCAGACCCAGGGGATGGTGTCAGTATAAGGAGATGTGAGGTATATTTCTGTTTATACTGAAAATTGCCTTGGGTCTGATGGTGACTTTGTGTGTCCCTTCTACTCAGGGAGCCATGTTGTTTTTCTCCTGGGAGAATAGAAGTCAGCTAAAAACTAGGACTCCACACCCAACTCTTCCATCCATCACTGCTGGTCTGCTGGATGGAGCAGGAACAGGTGCACTCAGTACCAGCTATTTGTAGCAGGAACTGAACACACATCATCCCCAAAGCTGTCCTTAAGTATCCATCGTGCAGAGGACAAAGCTAATTCTTTGAGTTGTTCTTTTGGACAAAGTATGTTTGATTTGGAAACTGCTTAATGTTCACCCAGTGACCTATTGACTGAGATATGATGACCATATTGGTAATGTTGAATCCCTGGTGGTCTCATAGGTCAACTCCAGATCTCTAGTTCTCGTCCTTTCTCTCTGAATATCTGCAGGCTCTTTAGGACTTGTTCTATTGTAGATGCTTATTTTTACCAAGGATGTGTCCTGTCTGATGTAGGCAAGTGTACGTGAGATGCGGTGCAGCAAGCACAATGCCCGTGTTTAGGCATGATGTTTGGAAGCTGCGATTAATTCTTTGTTCTCAAACCCTCCTTCCTGCAAAGTATCAGTGCAGCCAGGGACATCATTCCCTGCAGTCAGAGGTTCCTAAAGAGACTATAAAGATGTTGGCCTAGGGAAGGGCACATTGGAAGACAGTGGGCATTATTGTACGTGTCTCATTAGTCCCTAAAGTGCATTAAAAGTAAGCCTGCCATTATCCTCCTAGGGCAGATTTCTCGAGCTTTGGGTATGTGGAATCATAGCCAGCTCTTACATTGGCCTCTAATATTCCTTCTCTTGTAGGTGCCTGGTCACATCCTGAAACAGACACCCAGGGAATTCCTGACCTGAGGACGTGCACACTCAGCACGGGAGCCAGTGATGCAGGAGAGCTCTCTCTTTTCGCTGGAAAACTAGCAGGCCCTTTCCTGAGCTCTCAGTTCAGAAGCTCCCCACAGGTTCAGGAGGATATCCTGGGTAGGGCAATGAAATGAATTCTGTTGCAGCATCCAATCACAGACCCCCTCCCCAATTATCAGCAAATTCTAAGGGTGACAGACGAATCAAATTGTAGATGTTTTACTGTGGAATCCTTGTTCCACTTCGATGCTGTGCATATTTTGACAAGCACAGAGGTGACCTATGCCTCTCTATTCTGACAGACGCCCCGGGAAACCTGCTTGAGCAGATAAAGTGCCCCAGTAGAGCGGGTGGGAACTAATGAGCCTCTTTGCAAAGTATGGGGACAGCATTGCCTGGGAAGGGCAGTGTCCAGGGCCTCTTTTCCAGGCCATCAATCACATGGTGTACTTGAGGTCCTCCACTTGTATGTCATTTGTCTTGGAGAAACAATTAACAAATACTGAAAATACTGAAATATTGATGTAGAATTCCAAGAGGATTTATTCTAATTGACATTCAGAAGAGTTTAGGATGTCTGAGAAGACGACAAAGGAATAGAATCTCTCAGACACCTCTGTTTCTCAGCACCCATCACTGTTGTTAAAGTGACAGACCCTACCCACCTTATGTCAGCTAATTTTCTCATTGGCATCCAGGGAAAGCAAGGCAGTGAAAATGGACTGCCCTCCAAGGGCTGGAGGATAACTGTGCAAAGCAGTCAATAGCAAACCCATTAGAAAACTCAACTTGATCTCAAATGTTACACTTGCCCCAGATCCAAACACTACAATGTTCATGTAACAGTTACAGAAGAGATCTATGTAAGTTTCTGCTCATAAGGAGGAAGATCAGAAACACCCGGAGAACATGAACTGTTCTCATGTGAGCTCTGCAGCCACTGCCCAAGAAATAGAGAGACTGGAGAACTGCTTGAGGAGACAACTCCTCAGGACATCTGGAGAGAGTTTGGACTCTGACGCACCCCCGGAGAGGACAAATTCCTGTTCTAAGCCAAGATGGTGGTTTACTGCTTAGCGTTGTCAGCAGTGTCCAGGCAGACAGGCCGATGTGCTCTGTGCACCGCTCTTTACACCCATGCAACCCCCAAGATTACTACAAAAGGATGTGAGACAGAAGCACAGTGATAACTTTCCAAAGTTGGGGTCACATCCATCTCTGACTGTTAACTTTTTCCTAAGCCCAGGAGGAGGAGGAGGTTGAAGAAAGGAAATACATAGGACTTTCTGGAGCTGGTGAGTCTCCATGTTGCTGCTTCTGGAGCCCGGAAATCCTAGAGCTGCACACTCCCTAGCCCTGCTCCACACCCATTGCTGGATGCAACCCATGCAGAACCAACACCCTCCTTCTTCCCCACAATGACTGCAAGGCACCAGGCTGTGCTGTGCTAGATCTGCCACTTACCCCAGACTACTACGTGCCAGGCCCTGATGGACACCTACAGCCCACAATCTACATATAAGGTTAGGACTTACCTGACACACACGCCCCTTCCAATACAATCGTCTAGGTATCAGGACCTTATTGTAGTTTCTGTGCAGATGCAGGCATGCGTACAATGCTAAGCATCAACCCTTACCTAGCCTCTCACTGTTTTATTGCCTGCTTACACTACTATTCAGTGGTAGGGGATTTAGCATGGCTGAAAATTAGCAGTGCCCTGCGGGCAGTAACAGAGGTGTAAGAGACACTGAGCATTGCCTGAGGGTAGGCACAGTCTGAGGTTCAGGACTGTGGAGTGCAGAGGTATGTCATACTTAGTATTGCACAAGGGCTCAGGTAGGTGGTGAGCAAGCCCTGAAATCAAAGAGTGTGTTTCAGACTATCACGGTGATGGAAGGAGTGTCCCAGCAGCCTGATAACAAGTAGAGCACTCATGAATTTGACAAAAGGATTAGGGGGTGTCTAATAAGGCCTGAAGAGTGCACAGCCCTTATATTGAGATGACTCTGTGGGAGCTTCAGGGAGATGCTCTACAGTGTCTTATGAATACAGCATTGTATGTTGTGTGGCAGCATTTGTGAAGTGTCTACTATAATAGGGTCTGACCCATGGCGATCAATGTATAATACTAGGGGCGTCTCCAGCAGTGCCTGAGCAATAGTAGTATATGTGGAGCAGAGGTGATGGTGCTGATACTTTAAGGAACAGTGTGTGTGTGTGTGTGTGTGTGTGTGTGTGTGTGTGTGTGTGTGTCTGTGGTGATGGTGGAGAAAGTGTACTCATGGCTGTCACCTAAAGTGTATATAAAGGTATGTACTGTTGCATTTTTCATTGTACTGTGTGTTTCATGACAAAAGTGAAAGAAAGGTTTACTAACTCCCTCCTTCAAGGGTAGAGAGAGGATAAGAGGATGTGAATGCATCATATTTAACCAGCATGTCTTATCAGGTCGATGACTGTTTCCCATGCTCAATTGTATTTCAAAATACTGATTTTGGTGTCAGTATTATTTGGTGCCTGGTGATGAACAGGGCATTTCCTCCAGACTGGAGCATCTGTGGAGCACAGTGTAGCTTCTGCATCCCTTGGCTCTTTCTTCTGTACCCTCTCCCCAACTTCTATACTGATTGGAAAAGCTGGTTCCTTGCTCTCCCTCTAAGGGTAGAGGGAGGCCCAGAGAACCTTCAGGAATCACATTTAACCAGGGTGTCTCATCTTGTTTATGACTTTCCCTGCAGCTCCATCAGTATTTCATAATATTGACTGTGACTATTAGTTTACCATTTGGTTGTCTGTGTGTCAGAAATGACGCAGTGTCTTCAGATTTCTCACCCATGGAGGACATAGGCTGTGTGACTGTGGGAATGATTTCCTTAGTGGCATGTGGTGTACGTTGTTGAATGTGGCCCAGCCAATGTCATTCCATGTGCAACCATAATGTGATAGGGATTTGACAAATAGTAGGGAATGGACACTCTGTGGTGGTGATGATCTTGTGCATACCATCAATGGTGTTTTCTACGTATGTGAAGTGGCCAGGGACCACGGTATATAGGATGGTGTGCAAGCTCCACTTATCTCCTGCCAATCCATCATATAGGCTCCTTGTTAAGATATGTGAAGTCCAAAGGAGTAAGGGTACACAGACCTCTTCTA